GTTTCTGGTGAGCGACTCAGGGCCATCATGGCCCTCTTGTATTTCTTTTCCCATAACTGAACACTTACATGTAACAATTTATAGCATGTTGTTATAACAAAATTACCAATAGCATGATTCAAGGGCTAGAAAGGGGGCATATGTGTTGTTCAACATTTTTTGTTGCATTTACAAGTGAATTAATTCCGTGGCCCAGTGGTCTTGAGTTTGTTAACCCTTTCCCCCATGAGCATATTGTGAAAAATGGCCGTTTTCACTGAAAAGCCTCCTGTTACAAGTTCAAACTGCTATGAAACTATGAAAAATGCTTCAATACTAATCAAACTTGGCACAAATGTTGTCTGGACCATTGCTTTTGTAACGACATGCTCAGTCTTAAAATTCCTGTTACCATGGCAACGAGGGGACATCTCAAAATTGCCAAAAATCACTATTTTGCCTCGATTTTTCCATCAAAATTTATTTCAAAGTGCTGCAACTGCTCAAGGGATTGAGATAGAGTCAAAGGCTTTTCTGCGTTGGTTAAACATTACATTATGATCGACCTGAGGTCATTTTTAGCCTCTCACAAGTCCAAAATTTTCTTGGCGATGAGGGGGACTCCGCCCCCTTCAAACCCCCCTTACAGAAGGGGGCACATCCCCCTTCTGGCAACCCCCTGATGTATCTTTTAGATGGGGGGCGGCGCCGAAAAAGTGCTCAATTTTTTTAGCAACATTTCTCAAACGAAACCTTATGTTTCGGGCCCAAATAGGACATTTTTTTCACTATTTGAGGCCTAAAAAAAGGGGGGGGGGTCGAAAGTGCGTTGTTTCGCGTAAATATGTGGTAAAGGGTTAACTTATAAGCATGTGGTCACGAGTTCAAAATCCAGCCATGAAAGGATCTTTTTCTGATGCCTTTGAATCTGTCTATAACAAAGTAAAAATGGTTATAAAACAATTCAAAAATTAATATATACTGTATGTGTAATTAAATTCGCGGAAGCAAATTTTCGCGGAAAGGTCCACTTTGGTGGTCTAAACAAATATTCGCGCTATTTTGAATTCGCGGAAGTGACTGCCGAAAATCATAATTTCGCGTAGACCACTCCGGTTAAAAAAAGGAAAATTACTGTAATCATCATGGGAGTTTACAGTTATTTTCAATGTCAGGTGTCAAACAATACTCTATTGTACAGACAAAAAGACATTATCTAGCCAACAAAAGAATGCCCGTTAACGTGCATAAGTTTTCACAGTTTGCGTCATAAACGTCTTGACATCTGATCAGATCATGTTTTGGTTTTTCTGAACAAACAATTAAAAAACACAAACAATAGAAGCGCGAAAGTATTACTATTAAGAAATTATTGGTGTAGAAATATTCGCGCTTAACATAAATTCGCGGATCGAATGTCACCGCGAAGATCGCGAAAATATGAAGCCCGCGAATATTTCTACACATACAGTACCCCAAAATTTGCAGGTTAGGGAATGAGCTTGTTGGTATGTTTTATTGGGCCCCTGGGGTCAATATCACTTTTACCAAAAATAGAAAAATAGTTTCAGGTCAATAACTAGTGCTAGGAATTAGTTATTGTAAACAAACTTATTATACTGTTAGCACACTTCTGTGGACGCCTGAATTGGGATGCTTTTGATTTGCTGATTATCAATGATGTGGTTAAAAGAACATTAGGATGAACAAAAGAGTAGCCACAAAGTATCAAGATGTAAAGAAGTCCATCCACATTTTACTGTCCAGGAGATTACTCTGAATCTACAAGAGATTCTCATTGAGTTGAAGTGCAGTGCATGAGAACCATAAATCTGCCTTGTCTAATTTTAAAGTTATTGCCGTTTTTCATTCTTAAACTTTGAACTTTGTCCGGGACATAACTCTGAAACTACAAGAGATATCAACAATAAACTTTGTAGGTAGACAGATCTCATTGAATACAAGTGCAGTGCTTAAAAATGTAACTCTGCCTTGCTTAATTTTGGAGTTATTTTTCTTTTTAGCTCACCTGTCACAAAGTGACAGGGTGAGCTTTTGTGATCCCTTTTCGTCCGGCGTCAGTCAGTCATCCGTCCGTCCGTCCGTCGTCCGTAAACTTTTATTTTAAATGACATCTCCTCATAAACCACTAAGCCAATTTCATCCAAACTTCACAGGAATGTTCCTTTGGTGGTCACCTTTGAAAATTGTTCAAAGAATTTAATTCCATGCAGAACTCTGGTTGCCATGGCAACCAAAAGAAAAAACTTTAAATATCTTCTTCTAAATAACCCAAAGAGCTAGAGCTTAGATATTTGGCATGAAACATGTTCTAGTGAGTGTCTAACAAGTTTGTTCAAATAAAAGCCCTGGGGTCAAAATTGGCCCTGTCCTAGGGGGTCATTGATTTTCCCTATATGCATATAGTAAAAATTTAAAAAAATCTTCTTTTAAATAACCCAAAGAGCTAGAGCTAAGCTATTTAGCATGAAACATCTTATAATGGATGTCTACAAAGTGTGTTCAAATAAACGCCCTGGGGTCAAAATTGGCCCCGCCCATGGGGTTATTGATTTTCCCTATATGCACATAGTAAAAACTTAAAAATCTTCTTTTAAAGAACCCAAAGAGCTAGAGCTAAGATATTTAGCATGAAACATGTTCTAATGGATGTCTACCAAGTTTGTTCAAATAAGAGCCCTAGGGTCAAAATTGGCCCCGCCCCAGAGGTCATTGATTTTCCTTATACATGTATGTGTATAGCAAAAACTTAAAAAATCTTCTTTGAAAAAAACCAAATAGCTAGAGTTTAGGTACTAAGCATGAAACATCTAGTGAGTGTCTACCAAGTTTGCTCAAATAAAAGCCCTGGGATCAAAATTGGCCCCGCCTGCCCTGGGGGGACATTGATTTTCCTTATTTGAAAAAACCCGAATAGCTAGAATTTAGATATTAAGCATGAAACATTTTCTAGTAAGTGTCTACAAAGATTGTTCAAATAAAAGCCCTTGGGTCAAAACTGGCCCTGCCCCAGGTGTGTCATTGTTTATAACTATATGTGTAAAGAAAAAAGTTGACCAGCTATACCTTAGATGTTAAGCATGAAACATCTTTTATTGGGTGTCTACCAAGTTTGTTCAAATAAAAGCCCTGGGGTTTAAACTGGCTCCGCTCCGGGGGCCTATATACAGGTGAGCGACTTCAGGGCCATCATGGCCTCTTGTTTCAGTTTTAATTAGACTTTTTAGAGGTATTGTTACAGCTTTGACGGCATTCATTTTGCCCTTGCAATCTGCAAACTTTAAACTTGATCAAAATTGTTTAAGTTCTTTGTGTATTTTGAATGAATTCTCTTCAAACTTGAACACAACAATCTTTTAGGACATACCTACAAGTTAAGTAGACAGACCATGACCTTCACTTTTGATTGACCTGGACTTTGAAGGTCAAATTATTGAAATTTTCAAATATAGTTTTGCTGTAACTGGCGATAACTTTGTTACTAATGAAAAGACTGACTTCATATTAAGACGCAACATTCTTTAGGATAAGACCTCATGTATGTCAAACCCAAATTGACCATGTCTCATTTATAACATTGATTTTGAAAGTTGAATTATTGAATGTTCACTGATTTTTGCTAGTATTGACTTATACTTGGTAATTAATAAATGGAATATCTCCATACTTGACCAAAACAATATTTTGGACAATACCTTCTTGAAGGTTTAAGTGCCATTGACCTTTTGATTTAAATGACATTAACTGTCAAGGTCAAATTATTGAATTTGGGTAAGTCATCATAATTTTTGTCAATCCAACTTGCGGTGAACTCAACTTAGTAGCTACTTTTGGCATATAGTTTGGTGAATGTGCATCTGTCCGGATTTGTTCGGTCTATATCTTGCTTATTCTTTGAAGGATTACAAAATAATTTGGTACAAATGTTCAACATGATGGGTTGGTGTGTCACACACAAAACCCAGGTCAGTGGCTCAAAGGTCAAGGTCACACTTGGGTGTCAGTGCAATCCTTTGTCGGGAGTATAACATCCACTTGCATAGATTGATTTTAATATAACTCGGGACAAATGTTCTCCATAGTGATGTGGAGTGTTGCTCTAAAAATTCAGATGTCTGTAGTAAAGATTAAGGTCACACTTAGGGGTCAAGTTCAAATAAGAAAATAAAACATTCATTTGCTAGTATAACTTCTATATATTACATAGATTGATTTTGATATAACTGAGCACAAAAAATGTTCTCCGTGATGAGTTGAGTTGTGAAAGTCAAAATGAAGATCAAGGTCACAAGAGATCAAAGGTCAAATAAGAATATTAAAAATTGTTTGTTGGTGCTTTATCTTGCTTATGCTTTTAAGTATTTTGCTAAGTGGTCAGCGGTTTTTTGTCAAGTCCGCTTGCGCTAAGCTTGACATAGTTGTCAAAATGGCTGTTCAGTGTTTGTGTGTGCGTGTGTGCATCCAAACTTGTCCATGCTATAGCTTCTTTGTGCAGGAATTTTAAATAACATAAATTGAGTTTTTTATGCACAAGTGTTTCATCATGAGACTTTGTGTCATGCACATGAACCAGGTTACCAGGTCAGAGGTCAAGGTCATCTAAGACAGATCTATTAAAATAAAGAAAAATTAAAAATCTTGTTTTCTTTAATTTTCTTTTTAAAGATTGTTTAAACTGTTTATTTGTTTGCTTCAAGAAAATATAAAAAGCACTTACCTGGCTGTGGCCCTTATTAAACTTCGAACCCTTTCCGAGACATAACAAGAAATACTTTCTTCGTTACATATTTAAACAGTCTTAACCTTTTCCAGCAACTACCCATAACATAATATCTTTATGCTAAATTATGTAAACACTTATGGATAAACTACATCTGTGTCCACAACCTATTTGGGGAGCATGTCACCCAGTTTTGACTGGCTCCTGTTTTGCATTTAAGGGAATATTATTTTCATGTTTCCTTCAATAGTAAGCAGTTACTTGTTATTTTCTACTGCAGATTTTAGAGAAAGAGCAAGAGAGGAGGAAATCAGCTAAAACTTTTTCTGGAAAACAGCATCAGGCTGATGGTAATATTTAATGAATCCGTTCTACCTATGCTTTTAAAGAAAACATAGTATTTATACCCCTGAAACGAAGTTTTGGGGGGATATATAGGAGTCACCCAGTGGCCGGTCGGTTGGTCGGTCTATCGGTCCAGTGGTTCGTTGCATTTTCCTTGTCTGGAGCATAACTTGAAGACTAATGGTTGGAATTTAATACAACTTCATACAATGGTCAAGCACATGCAGTGCACAAGAATCTTAACTCCATCTTGACTCTTGACAAATTACAGTTATTGCCCTTTGTTACTTTTCTTTGTCTGGAGCAAATCTTGAAAAGTACTGGTTGGAATTCAAAACAACTTCATACAATGGTCCAGCACAATAAGAGGAAGTGCAGTGCACAACTCTGTCCAGAGTAAATATTGAGTTATTGCCCTTTGTTACTTTTCCATTGCTGTCTAGCTCACCTGACCACAAAGTGGTCAAGGTTTGGTATAGTGATTAGCTCACCTGACCATGAAGGGGTCAAGGTGAGGTATAGGCATGGGGCTAAGTCCGTCATTGTGCGTTGTGCATTGTGCGTCATCAACAGTAGGGTTGTTAACACTCTTGCAGTCACAGTTTTGATTGGATCATAATCAAACTTTGTCAGAATGTTTTTCTCAATGAAATACAGGCCAAGTTCAAATATGGGTCATCTCGGGTCAGAAACTAGGTCATTGGAGCTAAAAATAGAAAAAGCTTGTTATCACTCTAGTGGCTGCAGTTTTGATCAAAATATCCTGGAAATTTGTCAGGAAGATTGTTTTGATGATTTCTAGGTCAAGTTTGAAGATGGGTCATGTCCAGTCAAAAACTAGGTCACAGGAGCTAAATATAATAAATCTTGTTTACACTACTAGTGGCTGCAGTTTTGATCCAAATATCCTGGAAATAAGTTAGGAAGATTGTTTTGATAATTTTAATAAGTTAAGGTTGAATATGGGTCATTTCTGGTCAAAAACTACATGTAGGTCACCGGAGCTAAAAATAGTAAAATCTTGTTTACACTCTAGTGGCTACTGTTTTGATCAAAATATCTTTGAAATTGGTCCCAAAATTTGTTTTGATAATTTGTAGGTCAAGCTGGAATATGGTTCACCTTGGGTGAAAAACTAGGTCACACTGTCCAAATATAGAAAAACTTTGTTAATACTCTTATGGTAACATTTTTGACTCAATTGTCATCAAACTTGGTTAGAATGCTTATCTAGTTAATTGCTTGGAGGAGTTTTAACATAGGTCATTTCCCATCTAAAGGTAAGTCAATAGAAAAATCTTGTTAACACTCACTCAAGTGGCTGCAGTTTTGATCCAAATATTCTGGAAATTTGTCACCCAGGTTGTTTTGATGATTTTTAGATCAAGTTTGAATATGGGTTGTCTTTGATAAAAAAATAGGTCACAGGAGCTAAATATAGAAAAATCTTGTCATCTCTCTAGTGACTACTGTAGTTATCCAAATATCCTGGACATTGGTCTGCAAGTTTGTTTTGATGATTTCTAGGTCAAGTTGGAATATGGGTCACCTAGGTCAAAAACTTAGTCACAGTACCGAAATATGGATAAATCTTGTAAACACTCTAGAGGTCACATTTTCAGCTCACCTGAGCACAATGTGCTCATGATGAGCTATAGTGATCATCCATCGTCCGTCATTGTGTATCATCAACAATTTCTTTAAACAACCTCTCTGCAAAAACCAATGACTGCACATGAACCAATCTTTACTGGAATGATCCTTTGGTGGTCCCCTGCCAAAGTTGTTAAAATGGTTTCCGGTCTGTTGCATAAGTAGGTCACTGGGCTAGAAAAGGAATTAAAAAAAATGCAAACTTAAAAATATTCTTGTCTGAAAGTACAAGGCCTAGAGCTTTTATATTTGGTATGTCTAGGATATCGACCGGGTACGAGGTCTTTCTGTTTAGGAAAGACCTGGTCACGAATTTCATGTGACACCAAGAGCGCGTAGCGCTCGAGGTGTTTCATTAAATTCGTGACTAGGTCTTTCCTAAACAGAAAGATCGATGTACGAGGCCGATATCCAACTTACACACCGTTAAACTATATTGGCTTGAGCACGGATTCACATTCCGTGGCTTGAGCAATGGCTGATCGTAATGCACAAATATTATTTTTAACACAACGCAAATACAGGTAAGCTTTTATCAACGTTTTGCTTAAATACAATATTTATTTTGCACTTAACTTTGCTTTTCCCTTTAAAGTAATAATCAAAAAAGCTAGATGTGCAATTTGTCAGTAATAAAGTGAATAGGTCTATATAATGAAAGGTGAGTTAAAGAATAAATAATTATGTTGATAGTATTTCGTATCAGACAATGTAGTTTCTATGACTGTTGCCACCCCCGGACGTTTGCCTTTTTTTTTGCTGTTGTGACTTGTCAAAGGTCATCTCGTGTATAGATTTTTTTTTGTATGCCAATGGAAACATTATAGTTCATTTATTTATGGAAGCTATTTTGACGATAAATAGGCGATGAATTTTGGTAGCAAATAATTCAACAACAAAATATTTTAACATTTTTAAAACAGGGAGAGGGTGGGGGGGCAATGTCAGCCCCTTCCAAAGATATGAGGGCGGCAAGTGACCGCCACTGCAAAAAGGGGACAAACTTCCAAGGGGGCAACTGTCCGCTGTTTTTATACAGCAGATTATAAAGTGTTCTAGAATAAAATGATCGTTCATCATAAAATTATTTATACTTAATCACTTATAACTTTATTAATATTTTAAAATCGTAATAAGTACGCTGTGATTACTGCTATATAGTTTCATAGATATGAACCTGAAGTGTCCATTTTGTTATATCATGAACGTAATGACAGAAGAACCACTTAGATTACTATTACTTAAATGTTAAATGTGTCCTAACTTTGATATGCTCTCCATTATTTTTATTCAAAGATTTAATATAGGGTGCTGGAATAATTGCTAAGTGCATTCAATAAAGATTATCTTTTTAAAAAATGTCTTCGGATTTTGTAAGACAGGAACATTATGACAATCATTTACATTTTATTTCAATTTTGATTCTTTGATTGCATTTCATGTTTTCTTTGTCTTAGCATTGGCAGGTCTATTTTTTCAGGTGTATTTCATGACCAGGTCTGTCTGACTACAACAGACCTGTGCATGTGCAAAAGATAGACCTCATAACGGACATTCTTTTGTTTAAACAGGTCTACCCGAAAAATATAGCCCTGTCACAAACAATAGAGGAGGTGTGTAAAATATGATATCACCAATAGGTCCTCTAACAAAATTTTTCAAATTATAGCCCTGGGGTCACAATTGGCCCCATCCCGGAGATCATAGGTTTTCCTTATATGTATAGGGTAAAAAATCTTTTTGTCTGAAGGTTCAAGGCTTACTCTGAGCTTAGATATTTGGTATGTAATATCACATATAGGCCCTCTACCAAATTTGTTCAAATAATAGCCCTGGGGTCAAAATTGGCTCCACCCCAGGGGTCATAGGTTTTGCTTAAATGTATATAGTCAAAACTTAAAAAATCTTCTTGTTTGAAGGTACAAGGCTTAGAGCTTTTATATTTGGTATATGATATCACCAATAGGTCCTCTACCAAAATTTTTCAAATAATAGCCCTGGGGTCAAAATTGGCCTATGAACTTATAAACTTAAAAAACCTTCTCCTCTGAATTGACAAAGACTAGAGATTAGATATTTGGCATAAACATTGTGTAGTAGAAATCTCTACCAAGATTGTTCAATTATAGCGTCAGAATTGGCCCCGCCCCGGGGTCATAGGTTTTCCTTATATGTATATAGTAAAAAGTGTTCCTATCCACAAACTTTAACCTTGATCATAACTTTAAAGTTGTTGGTGTATTGTCTTAAAACATCAACTTCTTACCTACTCAAAAAAGTTAACCCTGTTTTGTATATTTTTAAGACCTGGTAACTTCACTTTTGTATATTAATTGTATTTAGTACTCCGGTGAGTGCATTGGGGCCAATGGCCCCCTTGTTTATACAATTGTCATCAAAATTGGTCTGGATGCTTGTCTAAGACTTTGCTTGGATGAGGTTGATGGGTCAGGGGAGCGATCTAGGGCCAACTTGGCCCTCTTGTTTCTTGTCCGGAGCATAACTTGAAAACATTTAGTTGAAATTCAATACAATTTCATACAATGGTCAATATATTGAGAGAAAGCGCAGTGCACAGAAACCATTACTCTTGACTCATTTAAGAGTTTTTGCCCTTTGTTACTTTTTATTGTCCAGTGCATAACTTGAAAAATATTGGTTTGAGTTCAATGAAACTTCATACAATGGTCAACTTCACAAGGGCAGTGAGATGAAGTGCAGTGCACAAGAATCATAACTCTATTTGGACATATTACAGTTATTGTCCCTTTGTTACTTTTTGTTTGTCCAGTGCAAAACTTGAAAACTAGTAGTTGGAATTCAATACACATTCATACAATGGTCAAGTGCAATGAAAGGAAGTGCTGTGTACAATAACCATAACTCCATCTTCAGTATTTGTAGAGTAGTTATTGCCCTTTATTCCTTTTCCTTGTCCAGTGCATAACTTAAAATCTAAAGTTTAGAATTCAATGCAACTTTATTCAATGGTCAATCTCAATGAGAGGAAGTGCAGTGCTCAAGAAGCGTAACTCTTTCTGGACTTTTTACAGAGTTATTCAATAAAACTTCATCAATGGTCAGGAAATGCAACATACAAGAACCACAACTATCTTTAATTGCCCACAACCATAACTCTTTTTCAATTCTTTTACAAGGTATTCTGTTACTTGTAACTTCCTCATTTCTGAAGCAGTCTTGCAGGGATATTAATCACATGTAGTGATAGTTCTAGTTTAACTACAATTTACCAATAATTTCACCACATGCTGTGACAAAATAATAAAAGATCAAACAAATTATACATTTGAAAAGATTTAAGAATTTTCTACTTCCAAAGACCTATTGCCTACAGATAAGATATGTGTTCGTAGTAAAATGTCCAATAAAGCACAACTTTAAAAAAATGTACAAGCTATACAAAGAATGATTGTAAAAGATCACAATGTAAAAAGAAGCCTTTACTCCAAAGGCCAACTTCCTAGAAGTTAGATATTTGTTGTATAGCATTGTCTAGTGGTCCTCTATTTAATTTGTTTATATCATGACCTTACCAAAACATTGCAAATGGGTGACCAAGCGTTTTAATAATTGTTGCATTAAACTTGATTTTGCATAGTCTAATACAGGAAAACCTTTAGAAATAAAACTTATCCAAAACCTAATGCCTTGAGCTTAAACCTTTGGAGTGAGGCATTGTCTTGTAGACTTCTACCAAATTTTTACAATTCTTGACCCTGTATAGAACAACATTTTAAAATGTTTTACTTTTGCAAAGTCTAGACCTTAGAAATTTTGGTGTTAGACCACTAAAGACGCTGTTTATAATTGCCTCTTACAATGATCCTTGAAATTAAACTTTTCCCAAATATATATCTAAAGTTTCAGTCATAGATTTCAAAGTTAATGAAAACTGTCTGCTACTAACATACAAAAAATTTTACTTTTCAGGTCAGAAATATCTTGTAGCTGAGAATGGATCAGTAAAGTATACTATTATTGCAGAGAGTGCATGCCAGAGAATGACTTCAGTAAAGATTGTGAATGTAAAATTAGAAGCAGGAAATAAGTCACATGGTAAACTTTTCAGCTTTAATGTGCTACAACAGAAATGATTACACTTTGTCACCAGTTGAACCAGACTATAATTATACTGTTAACTGTTAATTGACTAACTAAAAGGTTTCACCTTGATAATCTTTAAGATATTGAGAAATACAGCTGAAAAATGTAGGAAGGTCCCTTTATAGGCAGAAACTCGATCCTGTAATTATTCTCAAAGATATTTTCATGTAATTCATGACACGGGTATATAGCAATATGGAGATCATGAACATCATTTTCTAAGCTAAACTTTTTAGCTCACCTGAGCATGCTCTAGGATCGATGATTGTCCGTTGTCCGTCCACATTTAGTTCGTTAACACTCTAACAGTCGCATTTATTCCTCAATCATCATGAAACTTTGTCAGAATATCTGTCTCAATAATATCTCGGATGAGTTCGATCATGGGTGACCTCCGATGAAAAACTAGGTCACAGGAGCTAAAAATAGAAAAAGCTTGTTAACACTCTAGTGGCTGCAGTTTTGATCCAAATATTCTGGAAATTTGTCAGGAAGGTTGTTTTGATGATTTCTAGGTCAAGTTCGAAGATGGGTAATCTCCGGTCAAAAACTAGGTCACAGGAGCTAAAAATAGAAAAAGCTTGTTAACACTCTAGTCGCTGCAGTTTTCTTCCAAATATTCTGAAAATATGTCAGGAAGGTTGTTTTGATGATTTCTAGGTCAAGTTCGAAGATGGGTAATCTCCGGTCAAAAACTAGGTCACAGGAGCTAAAAATAGAAAAAACTTGTTAACACTCTAGTGGCTGCAGTTTTCATCCAAATATTCTGGAAATTTGTCAGGAAGGTTGTTTTGATGATATCTAAGTCAAGTACAAAGATGGGTCATGTCCGGTCAAAAACTAGGTCACAGGAGCTAAAAATAGAAAAAGCTTGTTAACACTTTAGTGGCTGCAGTTTTCTTCCAAATATTCTGGAATTTTGTCAGGAAGGTTGATTTGATGATATCTAAGTCAAGTTCAAAGATGGGTCATGTCTGGTCAAAAATTAGGTCACAGGAGCTAAAAATAGAAAAAGCTTGTTAACACTCTAGTGGCTGCAGTTTTGATTCAAATATTCTGGAAATTAGTCAGGAACGTTGTTTTGATAATTTCTAGGTCAAGTTCGAAGATGGCTTATCTCCAGTCAAAAACTAAGTCACAGGAGCTAAAAATAGAAAAAGCTTGTTAACACTATAGCGTCTGCAGTTTTGATTCAAATATTCTGAAATTTGTCAGAAAGGTTGTTTTGATGATTTCTAGGTCAAGTTCGAAGATGGGTCATGTCCAGTAAAAAACTAGGTCACAGGAGCTAAAAATAGAAAAAACTTGTTAACACTCTATTGGCTGCAGTTTTGATTCAAATATCCTGGAAATTTGTCAGGAAGGTTGTTTTGATAATTTCTAGGTCAAGTTCGAAGATGGGTCATCTCCGGTCAAAAACTAGGCCACAGGAGCTAAAAATAGAAAAATCTTTTTAACACTAGTGGCTGCAGTTTTAATCCAAATTACTTGGAAATTGGTCAAGAAGGTTGTTTTGATGATTTCTAGGTCAAGTTTGAATATGGGTCGTGTCCGGTAAAAAATTAGGTCACATTGCCCAAATATGGAAAAACCTTTTAAACTCACTAGAGGTCACATGTTTGACTCAGTTTTCATCAAACTTGGCCAGGATGCTTGTCTAAGACATTGCTTAGATGCGGTTGATGGGTCAGGGGAGCAATCCAGGGCCATCATGGCCCTCTTGTTTGTAGAAAAAGTTACCTCTGCTGTCCGAAAACTTAAATGTTACTCATATTTTTTTCATTTCTTAATAGATTCCCTTTATACTTTGACACAACAACCTTCAAGACGACCTGACTAAAGTTGACTTTCACACATATATAACTTTGACATTCATTAAGGTCAAATTATTAAAGTTTGCTATAATTGGCTATAACCTTGTTATTTATAAATGTATTGTCTTCATATTTTGGCACAACAATGTTAAGATAAGATTTTGACTCATAGATGACATTGACCTTAAGGGACAAAATATTGAATTTTGCAGATTTTCTTTAAGTTTGTTATGAACAAATGGATTAACTTCATACTTTATCACAACAACCTTTATGACAAGTTCTTCAATAAGACTAAACTGAACTTGACATTGACAAATAAATGACCTGAACATTGACGAAATCTTAAATTTCATTCTTCTTTGCTAGGAAATTCTGTGCAGAAGGTAAATCTTTCACAGCTTTGGGAAATAAATGTTACATGTGGAGAGACTAAGGAAGGCCTCATGAGTGGAGTCAAAGATGTTGTACTTCTATGTGAAGATCAAAAAATAACGTGTGTTAATATTTTTTGTTCAAATGGTGAGTGCATGCTGTTTGTTGACAACATATTTCTAATGTTAAAAAGCTTCAATTGTTTGTTAAAAATGATTTTTGGTTCCAATTTATTAGCTGACTTGTTCAAGCTATTATGATTTAGATTTGGTATCATCCTACAAAATATTGTATGTATGTATGTATGTATGTGTGTGTGTGTGTGTGTGCGTGCGTGCGTGCGTGCGTGCGTGTGTGTGTGCCTACGTGCATGCATGTGTGTATGTTTCATGCAACACACAGGTACTTTAGTGTTGTGTCATAAAGTTATATAGTGCTGAGGTCTGGTCAATTACATGTACATCTGCATACATTATAGGATTTTAAGATAATAATTTGTTTACAAGATAACTATGAGAAGACAACGCCTTGTGGATAAGACTCACAATTGTACCTTTGAAATCTATTTCAGTCATTAAAAGTCATGGATTGTTAAAATATTTGGTTTATGTGTTACCAAGGTACTTAAAAAACACAAATGTCTTCACTGTTAAAGTTGGGTACAAAAATACATATTGAGAAACACATTTAAATCTTCATGTGGAAATTCCAAGTTCTTATATGAATTTGCATACTTTCACTTCACTTGAATGCTAAAATCATAATTCTTATAGTAAAATAATTTAAATTATTGACCAAATGACTAAACATATATTGATATTTTAACGTCATATAATCTTAAAATATGATGACTTTTGTTTGATGCTGCTTACTTCATTTGGCTTTTTATTGAAAGTTAAAGATACCAAATTCACTTTAATTCATATTCTAAGGTTCTAAGTACTTAGAAACTAAACTCAAGTGATTTGTATCAAATAGAGTTGGATATCCCTTTAACAATTTTGCTTGGTTCATGGACGTTTGTCAAAAATAGCTGGGTCCTTTTGCCTTTGCATTTGTTAAACCCTTTGTTTTTTACAATCAAAACATGTTATCCTTTTTAGGATTCAAAAAGATTTCAATGACTGACCAGGTTGACACCATTATTCAGTCTGTTGAGAAAGAAGTAAGATTGTTAAATCCAACAAAATATAAGTACCTAAAGAATGTTAGAATAGTTGTAAGTGATGCTGCATTCTCTACTTTGTATGAGGTAAAGGGACGAGATGAAAATGTGTCAAGTAAAGGATTTCTTTCCAGTTTATTCAAATCTTTTTATACTAAAGGTACGAATCACCTTGAATATTAAAATGTTTATAATTTTCACCTTCTGCTCACCGAATTGGAATGTTTTATGTGAACATTTTTATGATAACTAAATTTCCTATATTACTTTGAAATACTTATTTGCTTAGATAATTGATCCTCTTCGTTGATTCAGAATAGTCACCGAATTGAAATCAGGCTGGGACATAGTATAACAGCACAAGCAACTACCAACTAGATAAGCTGTCTTTGAGGGCGTCTAATTTACAGTTGATAAATGTTGATCAATCGATAAGAGTAGTGTAAAAACATACATACCAGTATATACAGTTCATAAAATTGACCATTTAAATACAATGAATCGTACGCATGGTATGCCATTTGCTTTTTACACTGATTACAACAAACAAAAAATGTACCCTTGCATATCAACCAATAAGACAAAATGGTGGCATTTGTGAATGATTTTACAAAAAGATAATGCAGCTGTTATCTTCAGGTGCTTGTCCAATTATATTATGTCCCATTTTGTTTGAAAGCTATAGTTTTACCATAAAGTATTTGAGTCTCAGAAAAGTTGTAATTATTGTATATATAAGATATTGCCTGTTCTCTCATTCCTTATATTTTAAGGGCAACCGGTATTTATATTGAAAAACTCCATTTAATGCCATACACATGCATGTATTAGATTTTTTTTATTCAAATTTTAACTGAGATTATATTTCGGTAAATAATAATCAGCATTAATCATTACTGAAATATAGGTTGAATTTTAGTCTGACCAATTTGTTATAAAGAAATTGCTTGCTATAGTAATATACATGTATGTACATGAATATATCTTTTGGGCCTTTAACAGTCTCACAGTCACCTCTTAACTGGAAGATTTTATCCTGTGATTTACCAAAGAAAAGACAGTGTCTGAATATAACACTTGCTGGATGTAAACATAGTGACATTGAGAGAGCCAAGGTTGAAATAACACAGTACATAGAAATAATAGAATATTGTGATCCTGATAAGGTAAAGACTACTATAGATACAGATATTGTAGTGTTGATAATGATTTTGTAGCTCACCTGACCACAAAGTGGTCAATGTGACGTATAGTGATTGGGCTATGTCAGGCGTTGATTGCCGTGCGTCGTTTATCCTCAACAATTGGTTTGTTAACACTCTAGCAGTAACAGTTTTGATTGGATCATCATCGAACTTTGTCAGAATGTTTGTCTAAATGTAAAAATGCAGGTCAAGTTCGAAGATTGATCATCTCGGTTCAAAAACAAGATCACAGGAGCTAAAAATAGAAAAAAGCTTGTTAACACTCTAGTGGCTGCAGTTTTGATAAAAAGTTCCTGTAAATCGGTCAGGAAGGTTGTTTTGATGAATACTAGGTAAAGTTCGAATATGAGTAATCTCCAGTTAAAATATATGTCACAAGAGCTAAAAAGAAAAAAAATCTTGTTTACACTCTAGTGGCTGCCGTTTAGATCCAAATATTTTGAAAATTTGTCAAGAACGTTGCCTTAAGGATTTCTAGGATGGGTAATATGAGGTTAAAAACTAGGTCACAGGAGCTTAAATCAGAAAAAGCTTGTTAACACTCTATCGGCTGCAGTTTTGATCCAAGTTTCCTTGATATCGGTCAGGATTGTTGTTTTGATGATTTCAAGGTCTAGATGGAATATGGGTCGTCTCCGATCAAAAACTAGGTCACAGGAGCTAATAATAGAAAAAATTGATAACACTCTAGTGGGTGCAGTTTTGATCTAAATATTTCGGAAATTTGTCAGGAAAATTATTTTGATGATTTCTAGGTCATGCTCGAATATGGGTCATGTTCGGTCAAATATGTAATTATGTTACAAATGTTTATGAGTATGAAATAAACATAAAGTGTTCTACGACAATTCACTTAAACTTACCAAAAAAACCCTTCTTTTTTCAGAAAACAAGGACTATTTTAACTAATAAGTAACCAGCATATTTGAGTTAAATTGTTTTTGCTGAAAATATTTTATTATGCCCCCATTTTGAAAAAAATATTGCTTTGCACTTGTCGGTCCGTCGGTCCGTAGACCAAATGGTTTCCGAGTGATAACTAAAGAACCCTTAGGCCTAGGAACTTCAAACTTGGTATGGTGATTGGTCATGACCAGTAGATGACCCCTATTGATTTTGGGGTCAAGGGGTCAAAGGTCAAGGTCACATTGACCTTGAAAGCAAAAACGGTTTCCGATCAATAACTAAAGAACCTTAAGGCCTAGGAACTTCAAACTTGGTATGGTGATTGGTCATGACCAGTAGATGACCCCTATTGATTTTGGGGTCAAGGGGTCAAAGGTCAAGGTCACATTGACCTTGAAAGCAAAAACGGTTTCCGATCAATAACTAAAGAACCTTAAGGCCTAGGAACTTCAAACTTGGTATGGTGATTGGTCATGACCAGTAGATGACCCCTATTGATTTTGGGGTCAAGGGGTCAAAGGTCAAGGTCACATTGACCTTAAAAGCAAAAACGGTTTCCGATCAATAACTAAAGAACCTTAAGGCCTAGGAACTTCAAACTTGGTATGGTGATTGGTCATGATCAGTAGATGACCCCTATTGATTTTGGGGTCAAGGGGTCAAAGGTCAAGGTCACATTGACCTTGTAGGTAAAAACGGTTTCCGATCAATTAACTAAAAACGCTTAGGCCTAGGAACTTCAAACTTTGTGTGATGATTGGTCATGACCAGCAGATGACCCCTATTGAGTTTTAGGTGAAGGGGTCAAAGGTCAAGGTCACATTGACCTTTTAAGTAAAAACGGTTTCTGATCAATAACTCAAGAACGCTTAGGCCTAGGAACTTCAAACTTGGTATGGTGATTTGTCATGACCAGCAGATTACTCCTATTGATTTTGGGATCAAGGGGTCAAAGGTCAAGGTCACAATGACCTTGTAAGTAAAAACGGTTTCTGATCAATAACTAAAGAACGCTTCGGCCTAGAAACTTCAAACTTGGCATGGTGATTGGTCATGACCAGCAGATGACCCCTATTGATTTTGGGGTCAAAGGTCAAGGTCACATTGACCTTTTAAGTAAAAACGGTTTCTGATCAATAACTCAAGAACGCTTAGGCCTAGGAACTTCAAACTTGGTATTGGTGATTTGTCATGACCAGCAGATTACTCCTATTGATTTTGGGATCAAGGGGTCAAAGGTCAAGGTCACAATGACCTTGTAAGTAAAAACGGTTTCTGATCAATAATTAAAGAACGCTTCGGCCTAGAAACTTCAAACTTGGCATGGTGATTGGTCATGACCAGCAGATGACCCCTATTGATTTTGGGGACAAAGGTCAGGTCACATTGACCTTGTATGTTAAAACGGTTTCCGATCAATAATAAGAGAACCCTTAGGCCTAAGAACTTCAAACTTGGCTTGGTGATTGGTCATGACCAGCAGATGACCCCTATTGATTTTGGGGTCAAGGGGTCAAAGGTCAAGGTCACATTCTTGTAGGTAAAAACGGTTTTCTGATCAATTTACTAAAAACGCCTAGGCCTAGGAACTTCAAACTTTGTATGATGATTGGTCGTGACCAGCAGATGACCCCTATTGAGTTTTGGGTCAAGGGGTCAAAGGTCAAGGTCATGACCAGTAGATACTTTATAACCCTTATTAATTGTTTGATCACTGGGTCAGACGTCATGCATAATAACCTTATCACATGACTAATTGGCTGCTGATAGGGGGCATACATGTTTTACAAACATATCTTGTTCTTAATATCTTTTATCTGTTACAGATGACAGTGAAGGTTGAGAAAAATCGGCACTTGACATCAGAATACAAATCTGGTTTAAAGTCAAAGTTTATGAAAGATGCTAAGCAAAATCAAATAACAAAAGTCAATGATGATGGAATTGACATGACCCAAGAGAAAGGAGACACTGAGATAAAAATTGAAGGTGGAAAGAAAACTTCTCAAACTCCAGAGACTGAAGGTGAAAAAAAAACTCCACTAATTCTAGAGGCTGAAGGTGAAAAGAAAACTCCACTAACTCCAGAGACTGAAGGTGAAAAGAAAACTCCACTAACTCTAGAGACTGAGGGTGAAAAGAAAACTTCTCAAATTCCAGAGACTGAAAGTGAAAAGAAAACTCCAAAAACTCTAGAGACTGAAGGTGAAGAGAAAACTCCACTAACTCCAGAGACTGAAGGTGAAAAGAAAACTCCACTAACTTCAGAGACTGAAGGTGAAAAGAAAACTCCTCAAACTCCAGAGACTGAAGGTGAAAAGAAAACTTCACTAACTTCACAGACTGAAGGTGAAAAGAAAACTCCTCAAACTCCAAGGTTTGAAGGTGAAAAGAAAACTCCACTTACTCCAGAGACTAAAGGTGAAAAGAAAACTCCTCAAACTCCAGAGACTGAAGGTGTAGAGGAAATAAACGATGATCTGAATGTCATAAAAATGGATAAAGGTATGAAAAGTTATTTAGCGGTCAACATGAATATAAAGGCTATGTTAATGTTTGTTTATATTACTAAGTTAAAGTTATGATTGGTTACTACAGTTGATTTTAGGCATAGTAGAGTAAACTCTGAGAATGTAGTTAGCAGTTTTGAAATATTTTTGTTTAAAATATTTTAAATAAGACTATTTTAAGGTTAGTCATTTATTGAGCAACATCTTAGTATGAAGGTATCTAATGTATGGACCTGTATGTTGTGTAAACACTAAATAATCAAAAGATTGCACTGGTTCTTCAATAACTTTGTTTAATTTCTGATTACCGAAAGTCAATTCATATATTGTTGTCAAAACAATAATATTGAAAGGGCGTGTCACACTAACGTGATGCTTATATTTGCACAATAACTAAGTATATGCATATGTACGTAACACTCCGGGGGCCACAATGCATAAGATCATATTAAATCAATAATAATTGTACAAACTGAAATTCAATGAAATGAAATATTGTAACTTAGAAACTTTGAAATCTAGTGAATATCTAGTGAATATACAGTGTTACATCTGAAAACCTTACACCTGTGGGACTGGCAAAAAGTTCGGAATTTGGAAGTTTCAGGAATTCAGAAGTTCAAAGTTATCTTAACATGTAGAAACCTTAAACATCAATTGTTTAAGAAATATATGAGGCTGATTAAATTCATAAATGTCAAAATTATAGGAATTTTAAAATACCTATTATTATTAGTCCCCTACCGGTTTACCGGAGGGGACTTTAGGTTTACCCTCCGTCCGTCAGTCCGTCCGTCTGTCCGTCAGTCCGTCCGTCTGTCCGTTCGTCAGTCCGTCCGTCCACAAAACTGGACCCTGCGATAACACAAAAAGTACTGAAAATATTTTAATGAAACTTGATATATGGATAGATGGCAGTATGGAGATTATGCACGTCGTTTTCTTTTCTTCCTATGTTGAAAATTCTGGTTGCTATGGCAACAAATAGACTGAAAATATGGCAAATTTTACACATAACCTGGATCCGGCAATAACGCAAAAAAGTACTGAAAATATTTTTATGAAACTTGATATATGGATAGATGGCAGTATGGAGATTATGCACGTCTTTTTCTTTTCTTCCTATGTTGAAAATTCTGGTTGCTATGGCAACAAATAGACTGAAAATATGGCAAATTTTACACATAACCTGGATCCAGTGATAACACAAAAAGTACTGAAAATATGTTTATGAAACTTGACATATGGGTATATGGCAGTATGGAAATTATGCACACTCTTTTTTATCTTCCTATGTTGAAAATTCTGGTTGCTATGGCAACAAATAGACTGAATTTCAAGATTTCTGATTCTAGTTTTTAAGTTTTTTCACTATAAGTTCTTTATTTCTTAAGGTATTTTCTTCAAACTTTAAATATAAGTTGCTTGTAATCAACCACATCATATGTGACAAGGTATACAACTCTAGCACAAAATTTATCAGAATTACCTCCCTTGAACTTAAAATTTTCATGAAAAAACATTGTTTTTTTTTTTAATAACTTCTTTTTCTGAATGTATCTACTTCAAACTTCATATAAATGTTTCTTATTATCACTCAACATTTGTGAGTGTTGAATACTCTAGCAAGACTATTTTTTCAGAATTATGCCCCTTTTGAACTTAGATTTTTTTTTTTGAGAAATTGGTAATTATGTCTCCCCCACCTCGGGGGGAGACATATTGTTTTTGCCCTGTCCGTCCGTCAGTCCGTCCGTCAGTCCGTCCGTCCATTCTTCGTTTCCGGACGATAACTAGAGTTCCTTTTGACCTACAGCCCTCAAACTTCATAGGATGATTGGTCTTATAGAGCTGATGATCCCTATTGTTTTTGGGGTCAGTAGGTCAAAGGTCAAGGTCACACTGACCGTTGGTCAATTTCTCGTTTCCGGATGATAAATAGAGTTCCTTTAGACCTACAGACCTCAAACTTCATAGGATGATTGGTCTTATTGAGCAGATGATCCCTATTGTTTTTGGGGTCAGTAGTTCAAAGGTCAAGGTCACAGTGACCGTTGGTCAATTTCTCGTTTCCGGATGATAACTAGAGTTCCTTTAGACCTACAGACCTCAAACTTCATAGGATGATTGGTCTTATTGAGCAGATGATCCCTATTGTTTTTGGGTCAGTAGTTCAAAGGTCAAGGTCACAGTGACCGTTGGTCAATTTCTCGTTTCCGGATGATAACTAGAGTTCCTTTAGACCTACAAGACCTCAAACTTCATAGGATGATTGGTCTTATTGAGCAGATGATCCCTATTGTTTTTGGGGTCAGTAGTTCAAAGGTCAAGGTCACAGTGACCGTTGGTCAATTTCTCGTTTCCGGATGATAACTAGAGTTCCTTTTGACCTACAGCCCTCAAACTTCATAGGATGATTGGTCTTATAGAGCAGATGATCCCTATTGTTTTTGGGGTCAGTAGGTCAAAGGTCAAGGTCACAGTGACCGTTGGTCAATTTTCTCATTTCCGGATGATAACTAGAGTTCCTTTTGACCTACCAACCCTCAAACTGGGGGGAGACATATTGTTTTTGGCCCTGTTTCCGTCCGTCAGTCCGTCCGTTCGCCAGTCCGTCAGTCCGTCCGTCCATTCTTCGTTTCCGGACGATAACTAGAGTTCCTTTTGACCTACAGCTCTCAAAACTTCATAGGATGAATGGTCTTATTGAGCAGATGATCCCTATTGTTTTTGGGTCAGTAGTTCAAAGGTCAAGGTCACAGTGACCGTTGGTCAATTTCTCGTTTCGGATGATAACTAGAGTTCCTTTTGACCTACAGCCCTCAACTTCATAGGATGATTGGTCTTATAGAGCTGATGATCCCTATTGTTTTTGGGGTCAGTAGGTCAAAGGTCAAGGTCACACTGACCGTTGGTCAATTTCCCGTTTCCGGATGATAACTAGAGTTCCTTTAGACCTACAGACCTCAAACTTCATAGGATGATTGGTCTTATTGAGGCAGATGATCCCTATTGTTTTTGGGGTCAGTAGGTCAAAGGTCAAGGTCACAGTGACCGTTGGTCAATTTCTCGTTTCCGGATGATAACTAGAGTTCCTTTTGACCTACAGCCCTCAAACTTCATAGGATGATTGGTCTTATAGAGCAGATGATCCCTATTGTTTTTGGGGTCAGTAGGTCAAAAGGTCAAGGTCACAGTGACCGTTGGTCAATTTCTCATTTCCGGATGATAACTAGAGTTCCTTTTGACCTACAACCCTCAAACTTCATAGGATGATTGGTCTTATTAATCAAATGATCCCTATTGTTTAAATGGTCAGTAGGTCAAAGGTCAAGGTCAAGCGACCGTTGGTTAATTTCTCCTTTCCGGATGATAACTAGAGTTTCCTTTTAGACCTACAACCTCAAACTTAACTTGTTCTTCAAAAGCTTACCCTTGTTCTTGGGAAAATTCACCAAAACAGAAAACTGCATAGTTCTAGGAGACTTCAACATTGACCTCATTCAATATTTAGAACATCATTGACCACACTATGTTACGAACATCGCTTTAAACAAATAAAAAAGGCTACTACAGCACACAACACACTTTTTGACCATATCTACCAGAGAGGCTTGATTGTGAAAACGAGTGGAGTCATCCAACACACTACAGTTATCATGAATGATTTGACATACATTGAAATTTGAGTTTTGTCTTTCAATAGTGTAAAAAAATCTGACAATATGAACGTTTGTTTCAAAGTATCATCAAAATCCTTCAAAGGGTTGAAGAGTTATGGAGCAGACACAATTTCCTTTAATTTCGTTTGTGAAACTATATTATGGGGATATGAACATTCAAGTGTCAAGTAGACCTTGACTTGGAACCAGCCATACGAAACATGTACTCTACACGTTCTCTGGATGTGGGGAATTTTTTGTTTCAAGTATCTACCAGAAGAGGCTTCATTGTGAAAACGAGTGGAGTCATCCCAACACACTACGTTATCACATGATTTTACATACATTGTAATTTGAGTTGTCTTTCAATAGTGTAAAAATCTGACAATAGAACGTTTGTTTCAAGTATCATCAAAATCCTTTAAAGGTTTGAAGAATTATGGAGCAGACACAATTTCATTTAAAATTTCATTTGTGAAACTATATATGAATATGACCATCAAGTGCAATTTCGTTTGAACCCCGCCTGCCATACGCTGATTGAATAACCAGGATTTTCAAAATTGAATTACCTGGTTAAAAACAAACAGTTTTAGGAAGCATCTTCTCATACAACCTTAACAATAGAAAACCATCCATAGACAGCCTTCATTGAAGTGACTACCGGGTATTTACATTATCTTATCTCCATTTCCATTCCTGTTTCCATTCACAGTTATTCTCAGCAGTGGGGGAGACATGCGCTTTTTTACAAAAGCATCCTCTAGTTTTTACTCCAACTTCTTCAATCATGATAGGATTTTAAAAATGTTATATTTTTATAACAGGGATGTTTAAAAAATAACTTTAGAGTGTCCTTCAGTCCGTCTGTCTGTACATAAAAACTCTTTCCTGTGATCACTTTTAAAGAACTTTTTCAACAAATTTACTTAAAATAGGAACATAAGTGAATGGCCAATGGCCCTTCAGAATGTTGCTTGGGCTCTTACCGGTAGGGGACTTATGGATTGCTTGCAATACTATGATAATTGCTTGTTAACTATTAAAATTAACTATTTATAACTATTTTAGATTTCATTATCACCAATAACTGAATTTGTTGATACAATAGGCTAGAATAATGTAAATTATCACAATTTATACTATAGTATATTTCATTTAGTACCTACTATTAACTCATTCCTTCACGAGCATTTTGGGAAATATGACCGTTTTCATTCAAAAGCCTCCTGTTACAATTTCATACTGCTATGAAACTATGAAAAATGCTTCAATATTGACTGGACCATAGCCTCTGTGATAGTTTGCTCAATCCTAAATTTCCTGTAATATT